GGCGGAGGGGGTCCGCGCGCGCTCGTGGGGGCGGGGGTGGGCGCGCGCGCAGGCCGCGCGCCTCCGTGGACGGAGAGGCGTTGTGTGTGTTGTCGCGTGCATCTAGGCTGTGGGTGTTCCCACTCGGTGGCTTCTCGCCCGCCCTCAAATGCAGGAGGCCGCTGCGGAACAAGTCCTTTGCCAGGTCCGTGGGCTGACCTGCTGAAGCCATCTGTCATCTGTATTATTTGGACCTAAGGGAGAGAAGAGATGTGTTTAGCGCAGGGGCAGAGCCGTGGGCGCCCGGTGCTCACCACCTCTTCTCACCTTGCCAAGCACAAGAGCAAACAAACGAACAAAAAAATAGGGAGGCCCGCAGTGGGCTTTCAATGGACACTTTTCCTCTCTCTTTTTCTTCTCTTTTTTTCTGTGCCACTGCTTGGAGAGAGAAGCCAGTTGTGGCAACTGAACATCTACTTCTGGAGACACATGAAATGAAATGTATTGCTAGACGATTAGGCTCCCCAAAAGGACGCAGTGCTTTCAGGCGCTGTCTAATATGGCGTAGGATATCCGTTTACTGTAGGGAGCCCGATTCGATCTATCCTTGCTATAGGTCCGTGGCAGGCAAAGCTGCTACTGTCTTAGAAAATTGACCTGTGGACGTGGGAAATTTGGGTGCAGCCGCTTCATGGCTATCGATTTGTTTTGAAGAGGTGGGCCACACTGCAAGAGAAATGCAACAAAAGCCTTCCCTTTTTAGATGAATCACAGATAATCTGAAGAATTCCAAATCAAGAACATTCAGCCAAATTAACTGAAAGAGGAGTACTCCTCGGTCGCAGAAATGGACACACGGCTGTGACCGTAGGTCAGTTACAGCAGGGTTTTCAAAGCTCTGTGCACAATCTTGGCCACAGAAGATTTGCTGGGTACAATGGGAGCCCCGCAGCTAAAAGTACATATTGCTTTTTATCATTCGTTTTCCTTCAATGGAAGGTTTTTATTTCCGTTTGCTGTATAATATTGCTAGGGCGCTTCAACTGGCCCGTGATGTTAAGTTACTCTTCCTTTACGAGACATATTTATGGCAGGTCGACAGGAGAAGGTACACTTCAAATGATAAAAACTCAGGAGATGCTAAATTTTCTGCCTCTCAGCAGAGATGAGGTTTCCAGATGAGTCAGTTTGGGTTTTTCACTGGATTTGAATAGGCAATAGCTCTCAGACATTTGGTTTTACAGGTTACAAAATTGAAAAGGCTTTTTATTCAGTAGTGCATAATATAGAACATAAAAGGAATAAAGGGAATATAGAAAAAGGCGTGGGCCACAGCCATGTGTGGAAAACATGGCAGCCCAGGTTGTGTTGAGTAGAAAAAAGTAAACCCAAATCAGAGAATGTGTATACCGGGTCACACTCAGAATCCACTCAAGACTAAGGGGTCAGGAATACTGATGGATAACCCTGACTAGGCCGCTAACAAGTTGTGTGACTTTGTTTTTCTTTCATTTGGTTCAGTTTCCTCATCTGTAAAATAAAAATCTGTGTTACAGGATCTGCGGTCTCCTCTGGGATGTTTTGTAGAAGGGATGATAGTAGTATTTTGACTAGTCACTTAAAAGTATACTTTAACTCTACCTAACTTTCTAAGTTTGAATGCCATTGAAAATTTAACTTATTTCATGAGCAGTGAGACTTGAAAACTCTGGTACAATTTTACCATTAAGAGGAAAATAATAGCATCATTACTTTTAGTTGGCCTTTAAAGTGTTCTATTAACAGAATCACAGAAAGTTTTGTCCTCAAGGAATTTAATTCTGGACAAAGATAACCATCTTTGTAGAACCCCTTCTCTAAAGCAACATTAGAATGATAAATGCTTGATTTGAAACAATATACTTGATTACATATAATTAGCATTCTCATGTTATTATCGTAGCTGATCCTTAGATGAGAGGTTACATCTGATTTATTATAGTTTGATCATATTTATTAATTGTTCATATTGACCAACAGAATGAAATGTTATGTGGTTTTGTCAGAAGCAAGCAATTGCAAACTGTAATTATCTGATGGAGGGCGAGCCCTTTGTCGTACAGGCTTTCTCTACTAGGTGAGTGTTCTAGAAAACCATTGGCATCAGTGTACGTGTACCAGCTAGTGCTGTTGTAAGAGACTGCCTTCGGCTTCAGTAAATTTTTTTCTAGTTTTTGAAAATTCTTTCAGCGTATTTGCTCATTCCATGATGAGTCATTTATGAGCACACCCGCCCAACTGCGCTAACTGTTCGGCAGTTTTTGACCCCCAAAAGCATGACCCCATGCCTCACCCTCCCTAACTGAATTTTGCCCTGAGTGACTTTTTGTTTTGTATTGTTTCTCCAAATGAAACAAGTCCCCCAAGGGAACTGTTTTGCCAATGTGGAAGAGGTGAAACAAAAAACGACAGAAACACTAAAAAAGCATCAAAATTAACAAGTTCAAAAACTGTTTTGAACAGCAGCAAAAGCGTCTTGATAAGTGTATTGCATCAAACGGAGAGTACTTTGATGGTGAATAAAGTTCAAACATGTAAGAATAAATACACAATTTGTTATAAATAAATTCTGTTTTGGGGGGTCCACCCCTTGTATGTTGATTTCTGACTTGATGAAGTGTTTTCATGAGTGTTGGTTAATATAAGCATTATTTCTATCACTGACAAATTACGTTTATTAAGTATTTACTATGTGACATATCCTATGGTTTATGTGATTTACATATATTATTTCATATAATTTTGTAACAATTATATAAGGTATATATGTTATCTCTATTTTGCAGGCGAGGAAACATAGGCATAGGGAGAACAAATAAACTTATTCAAATAAACATATATGGCCAAGGTCATAAAGCATTTAATCTCAGGCAGTATGCACCTTCATCGTAACCACTACTCCTGATTGCTTTGTCTTTTAAAAAGGGGTTTTAAAAGGGACTTTACAGAGGGTTGCGATAAGATATTAAGAAAAATGGTAAAGGATTTAAAGGATTTCTCATTTTATATTTCTGTTGTAGCTATCAAGTCATTCTGGGAGGATGGGGAAGGTATGGCATACATACCAAATAACAGTAGTACATAGCAAAAGAAACAAAAGAGAAATTAGAGGCAAAAGACATTAAGAAATGTTTCATAAAGGAAGTGTTTCTTCAAGGAAGTGTATCCTTTGATAAAATTCAAAGGTAGTGGGGTTTCAAAGTGTGGAATTTGGAAAAAAGATGATGTTTGTTATCAAGACAACAGCATGGGCAATGGAAAAATACTTGTCATATTTGGAAAAGGAAATAATTCTAGTTTGGCTAGAAAAAAATGGCTAAGGGGAGATATAGACTATTGATGTTCTCAATAGATTATAAGCTTTAGGAGGACAGGGCTAGATCTTATTCATTCTTGCATTTTTTCCGGTATTACCCAGCTTCATCTGCATAGGGTCGAGATCAAATGTTATTAAGAGTTGAAAGGAAGAAATAATATTTCAACAGAACACTGAGGCCAGACCAGAATAGACTTGCAGCAATGGTAAGGAATTTGGACTTTGCTCAGTAGGCAATAGGGAGTCACTGATAACTTTTGGGCCGGGAAGTAAAATGATCAACATGGTACTTTAGAAAGATTAATGTGGCAGCCATGGGGAAGATGTGGTATACATTCTGAATCAGGAAACAAACTGGGAAACTCAACAGGTCATATGTGCTTAAATCAGGGCAGTGGTTGTGAAGATGTCAAAGAGGGAATGTGTGATACACTATTTACAGAAGCAATGCTTTGAATGAAGCGACTTACTGGTTGATTTCCGAACTGATACAGTCTTTTTTACGAGTGGTGTGAGCAAATGCTCTTAGAGAACTACAAGGGACACAGATAAGAAGGCAGGCACCATGCATAGATGATTCTCTTTTAAAAGAGAAATTTAGAAAGGGGTGTCTAAAGATTACTTGAATCTCTTTGGAGGAGAAATACTCCCAAACTCTATTTATTATCCTACACACTGAAGATATTAAAAGGTAAAATGATTCAATGGTGGAAGACAACGACAACGAACACATATCTTCAAAGAGAGAAGTTCACATTTTAAAATGAATTGGAATCTTACTTTCTATTTTGATCTTCGCTTGCAATTCAGCATATCACTTGATGCTGATATATAGAATTTGTTATCAGTTGTTATCCAAGGGAATTTGCCTAAACACAGATATAAAAATCAGGCTCTGATTGTATGTCTGCTCTCTCGAGTGCTAGAGTTAAGGGTTTGATACGTTTCAGTGTTAATGTTCCCATTCACTTTCATTTTCACATCGGAAAAATGACAGAGAAAGAGTACTACTCTGTTTTTTATCTTTTTGACTGCTATATATAACTAGGGTGACCCTATTATTCATCTTCTAAATAAGAATTCTTTTGAGAGTAATAATTACACCAGGACAACCAGCATAAACTGGGGCTATCTTGAAAGGAAAAAAAAAAAACAGAACATATCATTTATATAGAGTTACGTGTAACTCCCTACAATGCTATATCATTTTCAAAATATACAACTTTTTGACCATTCAAATGGCATACGTATAATATAGGCTTTGGAGCCATGTAGTGATACTTATGTAAGACTAAAGGCAACTTTGGAAATGACATTTCCAAATTTTTGGAAATTTGATAAGTCAAATTTTTACAAAGTATGAAGAAAGTGTTATTAGAATTATCCCAGTCAAAACAAAATGATATTAATAGAAGAGAAAATACTGGAAGCATTTAAATGAAGAAAAGCTGCATGCATCTGTTTTGTGCCATGACACCTTTACATCTTTTAGTATCATGGAAGAATATCTCAAAAGTAAAATACTTACATGTACATAGGCTGTAGTTGTAAATGAGATGTCTTCTGAGGCCCTTGGTATCCATAAGAGTCAAAGCCACCTATGAAATCAACTGAAAAGGGACAATTGCCTTCATTAGTGAACTTTTCAGAAGAAATACACATTCATAAGCAAGGTCCCACACAGATTACTAATGTAAACCTTTTAATAATCTATTAAAATACTTAACGTGACTAATTGTGAAGAAAAAGAAAAGACTGCTACTTCAAAGTAGTGATTTTTTTCTGTCCTTAACTGTGAAACTCAATTATTGCTTTATAAGAACTTATTCACTTGAGAGAAGAAATGATGTACTCTTCTCAAACAACCAAGACCTAAGTGGAGTAGTAAAATTCACTTGCGCATTAAAGATGCTATATGTTTTTTTGGTTAGTGTGAAGATTTTCTGGAACACATTACACAGGTTATAGCATAAAAATAGCGATCGCTCAAGAGCATGTGTCTGTCAGCAATTACAGCACTAGTGATAATATTATGTGTCATGATGGTCAAGTACAAGGCACTATGGGGGAGCTCATATTAATTAACTCAAACATCGTTGTTCCTGCCAACGTGTGGTTTACAATCTGGAACAGACAATCAGAGAGGTAGACGTAGAACAGAGTCTAACCAAATATTCACATGCAATACATAGTCAGATATTTAAGATACAGTAAGATATAACCAGAGTTCCTGTGGAAGATATTTTCCAAAATAGCTACAACAATATCTTCTATTCAACATGCTCTTAAAACGTGACCTTGACATTCCTTCCATCCAGTCAGTGGTTTGTATCTCTTCCTCTTAAACATGGATAGACTTTTGTGGCAGTTTTGACTATATACAAATGACACAATGGGACTCCCTAAGGCAAGATTATACAAATGACTCTATGGGACTTATGGCTAGATTATACAAGTGTCACGCACTTCCCTCTTGCTCTTTTGGGATGCTCTCTCTTGAAACACACCCATGACACCATGAGGAAGCCCAGACTAGCCCCCATGGGGAGATCGATGTAGAACTTATGGATTGGCATTTCAGCTGGCAGGCTAACTGAGGTACCAGCTCATAGCCAGCATCCACACTCAGACATGTGAGAGAAAATACCTCTAAATGATTCCAGATCCCAGCTGTGGAGTCAACCCAGTCTTGGGATCTTCCCATCTCAGGTCTCTGACATCAAGAACACAGACAAGGCTTCGCCACTCCCCTTGTTTGAGTTATTAATCCACAGAATCTATGAGCATAATAAATGGCTGCTTTATACCACTAAGTGTTGGCAGTAATAGTAACTGGAACAGTAAATTCTAAGGGTACTGTGAAAAAGTTTTATTTCTGTTTTTTCATTTGCGAACATAGAGTTTGTATGGTAGAGATAAAAGAAGCAAAACAACAGTCAAGATCGGGCATGTTCGGAGAGGTATGTCCGTAGACAAGACGTAAAACAACAAAAGGCTGACAAGACAGATGACAGGAAGGAGAGAGAAAAGGAAATTGAGACAACTAGGTTGCCCCAGGACACCTTTACTTTTTCTAGTATCTTATTCTATTGGCTTGCTTTATCTGGTTTTTGTTCTCTTGTTAATCTCCGAGGGTGCCACAGACAGAAATTGGAGCAGGATGTGAAGTCACATAAAGTCCATGATGTCTTTGTAGTGGGGAAATTCTATTTTTTTTTTAAGGACCTTCTTTTTTAGGGTTGTTTTAGGCTTATAGCAAAACTGAACAGAAAGTGCAGAGAATTCCTGTATTCTCCCAGTCCCCACACAAACACAGCCTCTTTCACTATTAACATCCTACACCAGGATGGCACATTTATTAAATCCGATGAACCTACACTGACACGTCATTATCACCCAAGTTCATGGTTCGCATTAGCGTTTATTCTTGGTGTTCTACATTCTGTGGGTTTTGACAAGCGTGTGACATGTATCTACTGAGTGTCATGAAAGTTTCACTGTCCTAAAAATCCCCTGTGCTCCACCTATTCATCCCTTCCTTTCTACTGATCCCAACTACAGATCTATACTGTCTCCATAATTTTGCCTTCTTCTGAATGTCATATAGTTGGATTCATACTATGTAGTGCTTTCTTATTGGCTTCTTTCGCTTTGTAATATGCATTTAGGGTCCCTCCAGGTCTTTCCATGGCTTCTTTTTAGCATGGGAAACTCTTTCCTTTCTCATTAAAAGTGTAATGGTATCATGGAAGGAACAGAGACACGGATATTAGAAGTGCCAGGGTTCATATACTGCTGCATCCATTTACTAGCCATATTGCCTTAGGTAAACCACTTAACATCTCTTAAAATAGGAATTATAATAATTATCTCATAAAATTGGTGCAGAAAGAGAAAATTAAGAGCCCTCCCCCAAAGTTCAGGATATTCTTTATAATTCTTCCAAGTCATGCAGTGTAGCAGAAAGAGAGACAGCAAATTCTTAATTGGGGCCAACAATGGAATTATACCATGCATTTTATAGAAGATGAATAAAAGAGAGTGAACATCTTTTGTCTTCTGAATTGTCCATATTTGTCCCTTAGCTAATATAAACAGCACCAAATGAGTTATATAATAATTGCATGATGACTATATTTAAAGTTTATACTTTGAGAAATTATTGCTTAAAACCGGGGATTTGCTGAAGATAGTGCTTAAATTCGCATTTATATGGGTGGGCTGTTGTCAACAACAAGACTTAATTAAGGGCTAGTTTCCAGAGAGAAATTCATAAAGTTAGAGCTTCATTGCTCTGATGTTCCCTTTTAGTAAGATGGCCTTTGTGCTGGAAAATAGAGTGGGTTAGGGCAGATCAAGGTCAGACCAGACATATGCTAAGCTCTCCTTCTCTGAAATTGCGATCCAAGTAAAATTTAGGTTTATTAGTGTTGTTGTTAATGCTATTATCATTGTGTTTGCTTAAAAATATTTCCATAACTTGTTTCAGGGATTTAAGAAAGATGGCAGAAAAAGCCCGGATGATAATTATGAGCCAAAAATCTTGAAGTGAACCAAAGGGCAACCTGGAAAAAATAAAAAGAGATAACTCTTCAAGTCCAATGGATAGAATTAGAACCAAACTTGGGAGAATAATCTTGAGTCAGAAGCAACACAGACCTCCCCAAGACACGAGAAAGAGCCAGGAGGGGAATGAGATAGGTCCTGAGCATGCAGTGTGAATGGAACTTGAGTGGTCTGGGGCGTCATCTTTTTAGCCAAGGCTTGAATCCTTTGTAGGGAGGGAGCTGGCTTACAACTCCCTGATTAGGGGGGACAAGTCTCAGACTCTGGTGGAGGGATGGTGATCCTTCTTGGGCATGGAAGAGGTTCCAACCACCCATGATCCAGAACCAAGATAGAAAAGAAGAGGCTCTGAATGTAACCAGGATGGAGTCGGACCATTTCACCCTTGAGGGGTATTCGAATCTAGACCAGAAGCAGAAGAAATATTTCTTTATTTTATTTAATACACTTGCCTGAGTTTGCAGCCAAGGAGATTGTATACAATCAATTTTCACGTACATGTGTTCTCAGTAATTGTTTGGATGATTTTCTAAAGACCTGAGGTAGAGGAAGAGGAATACATTGAATCTGGTTGACACTACAGTCAAGAATATGGTGGCCAACCCAGACAGACTTGAATCCTTTCATCTTTTACAGAGGGTCCTTCAACCATGTGTGGAACTTTTTGAGGTATTATGTGTGTGGAGAGCAGAGGAAGAGGTATGTTTTTTTTTCCTCTCAAAAAAGTTGAATTCCTGAGGTTGACTTACCCTTTGAAAATACCTGACATATCACATTGGTCTACTTTCACCTTCTTTTATATAATTACATCCATTTAGGCTCTAAAGAGGCTACTGCATACTCTAGAACTTTTTTGAGCAATAGCAGTCACAAAACATCTGGCAAGTAATTGTGATGGTAGCTAGATGTTGAGGTCATAGCTCATTGCAGCATTATTTAGAAAGTAGTAACTTTTATCCATCAAGAATCTCTTTAAGCCGGGTTCGGTGGCTCAGCCTATAATCCCGCGCCTTTGGGAGGCTGAGGTGAGTGGATTGCCTAAGCCCGCGGGTTCGAGACCCGCCTGGGCAACTCGGCGAGACCTCATCTCTACAGTAAATCAAAAATCACCCGGACGTGGTAGCGCACGCCTGTAGTTCCAGCTACTTGGAAGGCTGAGGCGGAAGGATCGCCGGAGCCCAGCAGGTCGAAGCTTTGGTGGCTGGGAACGGCCACTACACTCCGATCTGGGCGACAGAGTGAGACTCCAACTCAGAAAAAACAAAAAGAAATAGAATCTCTTTACTTCCTGAAAATAAAAATAAAACCAATTCCCAACAGTTGCAAAATAAATAATGGTCTTGACCCTATTATTGTGAGGTGAGTAGGAATGATTATTTTCATTTTACAAATAACTACAGATTTACAGTTAAAGGCCACACGTTGGGGATGGGACAAGACACCAGGTATTCTATTTCCTTCCTGAGTATATTGGAAAAGAGATTCCTGCTTTTCACTTATGCTATTCCAGGGCATTGTTTTTGAACGTTATCAAAGGTGATCAAAAATATCATATCAAATTTTTGGATTAAATCCAAAATCTTTGAGCTTTTTTTTTAAAGTGTAATTTGGGGGTGGAGAGGGAGCCAAAAAATGTCATTTAACCAAAGTTTTGAGTTCTTGCTTTGAGTCCTCTGTTGGCTGTAGATGCTTCCTCTTGTTATTTGTTCTCCAGCATCTTTGCTCTGCTTTTTTCTAGAAAATTTGCTCTATATCTTCTCCCCATCCTTGATTTAATATTGTAGAAGTATTCTGAACAATAACTAACGCAGAGATCAACTCTTCTGAATTGGCCGGTGATGGCTTCCAATGCAGTGTCTCGGTTTTTTTGGTAATCTATCTTTCCGAGATGATGAGGTTAGCATTCTTCAAGGTTTAGTTCATTTACTCTGTGTCTGATCATTTATGCAGGACATCAAATACGCGTTTAAGCAGTTATTTCTTTAAAAAGTATTTATATTCTCAACCCCATCTTGTAGGATTCTGATTACAATGATGTTTTTCA